AGAGAGAACCATCGTTTTCATAGCTCTGTAATAATGAATAAATAGTTATTGCAACCACTGAAGTAAATGACCCCTCTAGCAATTATTACATCTCTAGAGCTGATGAAAATTGTGATCCCTGCGTGGTCTCCTTAAGGGCACATCTAATTTTAAATACAAGCTGTTATCTTCCTCTGATCAGAAACTCTTTTCTTCCTGAGCAGGGCACTGACCTGAGGTCTCCCTGTAACTCACGGTGACTGTTCTCCTGTGTTCTGAGTGCACTTCAGCACCCACAGAGCTCTGCTCCCTCAGGTGATGACAGAAATCAGCTGATCACTGCCTCACATTTGTAATCCAAAATAACCAGTTCAGGACAAAATCACTAGAAAAAAAAACCTAGTAAACGGCAATGCTAATAGAACAAGATTTGCATGAACTTTGCTCACACCTAGACTGAATTTCTTAGCTAGAATTTCTTTTTCTAAGTGAGAACTTACTTTCCACACCCTTTGCCCTTCTTTCACTCTTCTTGACATGAACAAAACAAAGATTCATGGCTGGATCAAGCCCGCTGAGTGCCTGGGCAGGATCTTTGCTCTGCCCCCAAAGTGTTGCATTTCAGAGGAAGGGGATACAAACCTGGCACAGTTGGGTACCTACTCAGTGACTGAAGAGATACCTTGGATGGCATCAGAGAGGAAAAAAAGGCATCCTGCTGCCATTTACCTCCATTCCTTGTCCCCACCAGTCATTCCATGCTGTGCATCATGTTGTTTTCCAGTCAACTGGCTTTTTAAGACAGCGTGCCACGCTGTAGTCATATTCATCCTTAACCACAACGCTTCCTCTGCCTTGAACATAATTCTCTGAAGTGCTCCAATATGTTTTTCCTTTATACTTAGTTAACATTTCATAGTTCAAACTGTGGAAGTGTGAGATTTTTGCTTCCTTCCTCATTTCACACCCCAGCATCTCCTTTTGAACTGTGTGCTTTTCTTCCTCTGAACCTTCCCGTTTGTGCAAGATGGTTGGCTGCAAATGGCACATGAATTATGCACCCAACATTCCCCTTCATCTTTTTTAAAGGCTCTGAACAGTTGTTCGATCATTAAAAATATATGCATAAATAAAAATCAATTGAATTAAAATAACAGTAATCTGAAAATATTCTGCACCTGGTACAGTACTTTTCCCTTCGGCACATGGGAAAAGCTCTGCTGTAATATCTGAGAGCTGCTGTAGCTTTTTATCCTTCTAATCTCATAATCATTATTAATGTTTTTAAATTCCAGATGGTAGCTACCAACAAACTTGGAATAGAGAGCAAAAATGACATACCCCAGTTTCCATTAGAAGCTTGATTTGGGAGATTATATGCTTCTGTGCATTTCCAAGCCACTGCCACCAGCTTTCTGGACTACACCCAGTTCCCAGTAGCCTGCACAGGAAAAAAGATGCCAATACTTTTGAGATCTCAAAAGAATTTTTATTCTAGATTAAATACAATTTTTTTTTCTCCATTAAAAAAAAAAAAATGATTTGCTCTAAGTTTGAATTTCACCACCAGTTAAATTCCTTCTGGTTGGTCATTATAATTCCAAAACTCTGCATGTGAAATTCTCAGTAAAATGTTTTGGGTGTTTTTTCCTGGAAAATGTTTCCAGTTTGACAAATGACATTTAAAAAATAAATCATAATGATGGCAAAGGCTCCCACCAAGTACAGCATGACGCATTTTGTGTCATCATAGACCTGCAGCCCAAATCTCAACAGTCCTCTAGTGCTTCAAGACAAGAAGTGAATCTGACTGTAGGACTACACAGCTTTAATAGCTACACATTTGATCATAGCTACACCTTAGTCTTGGAAAGCATGAGAGAATTGCACTTATGATTTCATAGAAAGTAAGCTCACTCAGCAGTCATAACTCATGAGACCTGTACTACTTCACTGGCATTATAAGCAAATTCTGCTCAGCCATACAAGTTCTGAGCTTTCCGTATAGCTTTTTTCTTTACAACTGACTGTACCCACCATTAAGAGTAGATGTTAAGTTTCATCACACAGTTGAAAATCAGACATCCTATTTATTTAACAGAGCTGGCTAAGCTTCCTGTGACAACCGGTGATGAGCTCCATTTTGCAAGCAGCAAGTGGACAGAGGAGCAACAGCAACCCCGATACTGAAGGGCTAAGTAAAAGTTTCTCTAATCCATGAGATTATATTGTACTGAAGGTACAACAAGGCCACACGGTTTATTGAAAACATACATTCTTTCTTCTAGCTGTCTCTTATGTTTCCATATTACACTGTGCTCCGTAAGAATTTATAATAGCTGGCACCTTATCATTTGAAGTTAATATTAGCAATTTCTTAGACTCTTAGTGCTTGTTTTCTCAGAAGATGAATTTATCCTTAATGCAACACCAGTAGAATGCCAAGCTTATATGAGTGATGGTAAAAATGAAGTATCTTATTTTACAAACCAGCAGCCCTGAAATAGCTGCATTAGTGTAGCAACAGTAAGTACAGAGCTCACAGAAACACACTGAGTTTGGTAAATACAATCGTTATTTCTCGTCTCTTGATGGCCTTGTATGAAGCCACATGAATGGAAAAGTCAATCATTACCAGTGCAAGCCTGGCATTAACTCTTTTTCCAGTTTCTAATTGTTATGTTTTTACTCAGAGGCCAAACAATAGAGACTGACTGCTTCTCTCATTCTCAGATCCAGCTCCTGTTGAGCCATGGCAAAACTACCAGTATGCTGAATTGGTTTTGATTGCTCCTCGCATTCCACCAATATACTTGAGTAGGCAAGACCTTAATTGTGCTAGAGCAATAATAGCAGAGCCAAGACTTTTCTTAAGAAATAAACCCATTTAACTATTTGTTAGAAGTACACCTCCTGACTGTCCCCACTCACCTGCTTCAGCTCATACAGTGGTGTGCACTAACTAGACTGCTTTCAGATGAAACCAAATTGGAATTGCACTTCAACTGCAAACAAGCATTCAGTTCACAGAACAAGATCCTAAACGATCAGCTCATCGTTAAATCCCTCATCCCACCAAAATGCACATATACTGAGTATCTTGAGCCTGCACCAACACCTGCATGCTTCTGTACATCCACATCCACTGATCCACGCAATTTCCTACACCGATGCAGCCTACAGAACCAAACAGCTCACAGATCAGTCTTAAGTTTCTTCTCACTTGGGCACTGTAGGAAAAGTAATTCTCTTTCTGTTCTTACTGTCAAAACAGAAGATGGAACAAGTTCTGACTTACCAGGTCAGTACAGTCCTCAAGGCTTTGCAAAATAACAAGCACTTCAGCCTAAGGCTTGCCCTCTCAAAAAAGACAAATATAGGCCATACATACACAAATATACGTACCGATTGCATTTTGTAATTTGCTAAACACTTCTGGAGATGACATTATCAACTGAGAGAGAGCAAGGGATGTATTCTAAATGTTAATACTTGCAAACTTTAATGCATATTTTCACAAAGTAATGCATGTTCAGTATATATCAATTCAGTGCGAGAAGCACTTCAAATTACTGGTTTGCATGATTCTAGCAGAATTAGTCTGACCTTCCTTTATAGAGAGATCTTTTCAGGTGAAATAGTTGGCTCTTCTCATCTGATCTCAAACTGAGCCACTTCCCACCTCCCACAGTAAGCTGTAGCCGTGCTCCTGCTGTAACATACTCTGCTGAGCAGGACTGCTCGTGCATTAACAACTTCTTGCAAGAATTCGCAGGCTCAAAACATAATCAGGGTGACCCATTTTATGCATTTAGGCAATTTTCAGACTGCACTAAACAGTGTGGGAATACACCAGATATCAAGCTTGTTCCGAACATTGGGTGGGGGAAAAGTTTTTCTTGTTTCTTTTGGAGGTTTTGTTGTTGTTGCTGTTCTTTAAAACAAAAACTCTATGCCATTCCATACAGATAGCTAAAACAGGGTTGCTAATGCCATGGCATTTTGGAAATGGTGCCTATTATTTTAAGGCTTGTTTGATAAATTGCCATCATTAAGAACTTTGAAATGACTGGGTCTAATGCAGCCACGCAGGTAAATCAGAGCAGCATGATGCCTGCCCTTGGCTCTTGTTAAGAAAAGGCTGCAGCCTAACTCAGGCACACGTAACAGAATAGACTGACTGCTGCTGCATCACTACCATGTAGAATGGAAAAGGAGCAAAGGACAATATAGCAGAGCAGAGACAGCATACATGCATAATGGGAAATGCTTTTTACTTATCTGTGCAGTAGCATGCAAACTTTCTCACCTCTGCCTTCCAAAGGAAACAGAATTTGAGTCTTAGAAACCATGTAAGCAGTGACTCCGTTTGAAATCAAATTAATGATAATATTATCAAAATAAATCTCTCTTGGATACAGAGATAGCTAATAACATACACACAGTTCATACTTGAAACAAACTTGGAGAAATGCTCTATATTTACCCAATGCTTAACTCCAAAGGTACAGGACGAAGACACACGGCACATTTTGGTTACATTGAGCACAGCGAATACCACTTAGCTTCATCTCCAGCTTTAGATCAGCATTGCTGCCCTGCACAACCTTACAGTCAGCAAAGGGAGAAATGTGTTTTCAAGAGAGGTGCAACATCAAAGCCCTCGAACAGACAATTCCTCTTTTATTTCTGCAAAGAACTTCACTGAAGAACGTTACAGAATCACAGAATGGCCAGGGTTGGAAGGGACCTCAAGGATCATGAATCTCCATCTCCCCTGCCACATGCAGGGCCACCAACCTCTACATTTAATGCTAGACCAGGCTGCCCAGGGCCCCATCCAACCCAGCCTCGTGCACTGCAGAGGAGCCGGATGGCCTTCAAGTGTTCCTTCCAACTCAAAAGTTTCTATGATGCTATAAAATTGCAGTTGAAGATGCTTGTATTATTATTCACCCAGTCCAGACCATACACTCTGCATCACTATGGGCTGGGTGTATCTATTGGTGTCCACTTACGATAACTTGAAAAAGCAATAACACTTCTATTTTCTGGGCACAATACTAAAGAAGAGGCAAGCAGCCTCCACCCCAGGGCAGGAAAACACATCAACACAGCAAGGAGAGGCTGTGTGGGTGGGGAATTTCACTGCTGCCAGTGCTATGGAACCTCACGTAGCTGTGAAGTGGAGAGAAAAAAAAAATACTACAGAGGCTGCAGTAGATAGAAAGCCAAGGGCATGAGCCCAAGCAAGCAGCAGGACTGCGGCTCTGAAGCTCGTAGAGAGGCTCTGGGCTAAATATTGACTTAAAGGCTGACTTTCTCAGCTGAGAGCTGAGAACAGAAAAAAGCCGTCGCTCTCCTCTCTCCCCCTTCCCACCCTAAGACTTAATTCCCAGCTGCACCTTGCTCATGTGGCAAACGTTGATGAATGAAGTTTAGACATGGGACTTAGCAAATCCACATAAGGAAGGTTCACAATGTGGGTTCACAACGCTTGTCTTGACCAAATTTTAGAATGTGCAAGATTATTTTTTTTTTTTCCCCTTTTAGTATTTATCACATAGTTTGACTGGACTCTTAGATTGTGGAAGTATACATTTTCTTTGCTTATTAAGTAGAATCAAAGGCTTACTGAATTAATACACAACCCATCATTAGATTTACATTTTTTTCCTCTACAGCCTGATCTCCTCTAATATTTAAGATTGCTGGGGTCCAGAAAACCCATATCTACCAGAAGCCTTTGCAGGCAGTTATGTTAGTCAGATACTGAACAGGTGAAATAGATAAAGAACTCTCTTTAAATGGAATTCAAGTGTGACAGAACAGAACACTTTGTCTCTGGTATTTATGATTTTACTATCACATCTATAAGGAGAAAATACACTTTATAGACCAGATGTTTCTGGAAGAATTCATCACTGCCAAAGCAGCGCTCCTGCCTTCAGGAATTTCAGAATGGCAGCTGAAAAGGTGTCCTATTTCCTATGTTTTTAATATAATATTAAAATATCGTGTTTGATTTGCTCTTAATTACAAGAGGTAAGGATGTAATTTACTTAATGAGACAAGGCTAAATATAGCAGAAAGGGGTACTATAAAACCTAATGAAATTTTGCAGCTGCTTTTATTTAGGGAAATAATAAATTCTAGCCAAGAAGCTGAAGGATTGAAAGGGGAAGCAAATTCTCATCACATGCCTGAAGATTGAACGGCTATTCACCAGGGTACTAATAATCTTCAGAGCCAATAGCTCAAGATCTCATTAAAGCACAGAATAGATTAGGGATATTAAAACACTAAGGTCTGGCTGGTTGCTCAGACATGCAGCATCTCACTAAGTGTGAAATCTCACTTAGTTCTACCCCCAGCTTTTTGTCCAGTTTTACCTAAGTGCTTTTCAACTGGGAAAATGGCCTATGAACTTCTGTACTGCCTATTTCATTTCCCAAATTGGCAAAATCAATTCACATTTATTTTAGGACTACAAGCTGCAGTTTTTCTATCATCAAAGGTTTGTTCTTGCATCGGTTCAGAAAATACAATGCATTATAAAGCCTTAAGAGTATAAAGAACAACAGACGTAGCAGTTTTTCAGATCCTCTGATTGTACAACCATCCTTCTCATACACAATCATCACACCTAAACGTGCTCTAAAATACAACAGCGACTACTCTGTACAACCTGTATATCTACAACCCCTAAGGCTGTAAAAGGAAAAAAAACTTGTCTTTAGCTAAATGAATCTCTTCCAGGAAAGAGCCAGCTTGTTCCCTCATTAAAAATTGAAGGAAAATAGGCACAGAAATTGAGGGAAATAGGTAAAAGCATGGATCTTGTTCTATATAGTGTATTTAGTTTAATTAAATGTTATATCTTGAACAGTTCTAAATACATTCACTTGATTCATCTTTTGAAAGTGCTAAAATACAATTTAATCACTTTCCACTCTTGCTAAGTGTTTTGGTGGGCATTTTGACAGTGAAAGGCTACAGTCCCATACAGCAGTTCATACCAAACTCAGCAGTTGGAAGCTCTAGCTTTAAGGCTCAACATAAGATCCACTTGATTTTGTTGTTGTTTTTAAGTGAAAATAATTAACTATTGCAAACAGAATCACAGAACCATCAAGATTGGAAAAGACCTCCAAGATCATTTAGTCCAACTGTCCACCCACCACCAATATTTCCCCATTAAACCATGTCTGCGTTAAGCTCTCTGGCATTTAAGCTCTTCAGATCAGGATTAAACATTTAATGGATCTTTCACGGAAATCATTCAGGTAGATCAGCATTATGTAAAGTGCCTCTACAAGGGGATGGCACTCTAAGCACAAAAGGATTTACCAGTCAACATGAGAATCTGCAAGATATTTTCAAGCCTTCAGAAATCAGCGAGCCACATCTTATAAAGCCAACCTGAAACAAACAGATATCTTGAAGTACTTCCTCACCTGCATCTTTAAATCAGCCTATAATAACAACTTTAGCTGCTGTCTAGTCTTTTTCTGTTCACTCTGAAAACAGAAGCATGTATTTCTTCTCATACGATTACTAAAAGCAGTCAAATTGTTGATTCCTTTTCAGGTGGTGCTATCCCTGCAGCCATCCTTTCCTCTGACTAACAATTTGTATGACATATTTCCTCATCTTTGTTCCTTTATTAGCAAAGCAAGCAGTAATCAGGATGGAGGAAAAAAAAACCAACAGCATATAACCTTGCAGACCAGTGAGATGAAAAAAGAACACCACTGGAGGACAAGGAAAGACAGACTTGCTAGGTCTCTTGGCAGTTGGCATGGCGCAGCATCTGACTTCTTGTCTACAATGGCTGCAGACGTTCTAACTCTCAGGTGAAAGAAGCCACTTTTTGTCTTCTCAACCAAAGGAAATTTATTTTTCCCCTCACCTCTTGGGCATTAAAATACAAGCTCATTCATACTGCTTAGAAATACTGGACTTGTTTTGAATTTATCTTACAGTAGAGTCAACCTACGCTACTCCACAAGCTGACTTTCTTCACTTTCCACCTCTCATCTCCTCTACCAAGCCTGTTCCAGTGAACCTCTCCCCAAAACTTAGATTTCAGAGGTTTGTGCAGCAGTTATGCCCGTAGCTCTACTAATTCTGGTCCCTTTGAATGGACGGCAGACTTTTCCCTTTCCTTCGCAGAAACTTGCCTTATCAAAACGACCAGGGAGACAGAATGCAAATCTCATCTTCACAGAATCTTTAATCTTTTTGGGTGATTTATCAATTTTTATTATGTCAAAAAAAAAAAAAAAAAAAAAAAGTAACTCCTCTCTCCACAACTTCATCTCATTGAATAAGCTGATATAAGACAAAATTTTTCCTCCTGCAGCCTGAGGGAAGCTTTGTGCCTGTTGTCTCTCTCATCTAAATGACATCACATACTCTTAACATTTCCAAAAGTCCTACACATCTTTAGGTGATCTAAATCCCTTCTTACCACTAGCTGTACTCCCAGTTTCCAATCTCAGCAGTACAACTGATTGTGGGCCTTATTGTCAATTTCAGCCAACAAGCTAAAAAAATACATTTTTTCAACTTTGTTGGATGTTTTTTCTCTTCTTTCAAACTTTCTTCTGCCTATTTCTTCCTTAGCTAACCTGCTGCCAAATCTCATTTTTCCCTTTCAGATTGTTCTCTAAAACATCCTTCCTGTCTCTGATCCTTAAACCACGGTAGAGACTTTTGACATTACCCATTTTCCTGCTTGTCTCTCTGGTTTCTTCGGTGCACTGGCAATACTGCTGCTGAAAATACCTCTTGGCATCCAGTTTTCTCATTTCTTTACATTCCACATCAGATCCAGGCTTATCACTTTCAGCTTCAGAACTATATAATATAGCTCCCACATACATTTAAATCTCAGACATTAGTTCAGCCTACAATGCAGTTTGAGTTCTTCATTCCAAATGCCCTGTTTCTGAGTCCTTCCCAAAGTATATTCTGCAAGAAAGAAAAAAAAAAAAAGACACTTTCTGTCAGAAATATACTTCTGAAATTCAAGATCAGCAATTATCAGTCCTACAGCCGCAGAACAAATTACATTACAGCTGATCACAGCAACACTCCATCCATGTTTAGTCTGGAATGTATCACTGAACTTGTTTTACATCTTTCCACGAATAACAGCGAAACTGAACATTAACAAGGACAAAAATCAGTAATTGATTATTTGAGTTTTATGAACAGGCAAGGTGAGGAACAATATCCTATATGAAGAAAAAAGAGAGAAAGAAAGGATGAAGTGGCTACAATAGGTAGATGTCAAGAGAAACAGTACGTGTCATAAGGAAAACCAGTTGTATTGAAGTCTTTTGGCTCTGATTCTCTCTGATTCTGTGTTGTGCAAGTTCTCCTTATTATGATTCGCACTTAAGACTTCCCTATGGAAGTGAGGCAATAGCCAATTGAACAAGGGGACTACGATAGTTTCACAGTAATTACTGTACCATCAGCTAGGTATAACCTAGAACAGATGTCTTCCACTGAGCTGCCCACTGACTAGAAAAACGGGCATGACCTTAGAGACCTGAAGATCTGCCCCATCAAACTTCTACATTAGTCCATTTTCAAGACCTTGCAAGGGCAGAGAAGTCATTTTAAAGCAAATGCCTAAATCCAGAAAAGCTTAATTCAGAGTTCTGCTCTGGATGCATCTGTAATATTCAGTCTCTGTCTAGCATTCAGTGATAAAAGTGGATTTTCTTACCTTTCAGCCCACCTTGCCTTGTGGAGCTAATATAACTACAATAAACTGAGCGGAATTCTGCCTGCTTTTTTTCTGGCTCTACACAAGTGCAATCTCATGAAAACAATACTTTCCCTAGCACAGCCCCAAACATTACAGCTTAATGGTACCTTCTACTATTGTTAACAAGAGAAAGCAAAAATGCTATCTTGAGTCATGCCTCAAAACAAAGGGCTTGCAGCACTCAGGAGCCCTGTTACTTCTGAACTGAGCACACAAATACAAGCATGCTCTCCAAACAGCTACTTTCAGTCAATTCAGGGAGAAAAGACAGCTGAAACTTAAACCACTTTCAAACTTCACATTTCAGTGCTTGAGCAAGAACAAAGGCTATCAGGGCTGTAATAAATTTTAAGATTGTGTAATTATTTGAACCTGCCCTTCCTTTGCAGGGAAACACATAGCAGGAACCTGCTGCCTTGAACTGTACCTTCCAGCCCTACAGCTGTTTAAGATCATTTCTGTAGCTATACGCTTTACCTCTTTGGAGAGCACGTGGCAATGATCGCCAGCTTCAGGAAAACAGCAAAGTCACTTAGAGAAAAATGCATGTGGCAATAACTCAGTGATCTGGAGTCATGGTTCCAGAGCTGCTGGGGCCACAGACTCGTGCAACTTTCTGACAGATTTTTTATGCAACTGTGCAACTACTTTCTGTATAAGGAATGAAAAACATGGCTCAAGCCAACTGACAAGATTTATTTGCGTGTTGCCGCATTCCAGTTCTCTAGACATGCATCTTTAACCAATTTTTCTTTTCACACAGTTGTATTCCAATTATGAGTATTCTGTTTCATTTTTTCTGGCTGTTACAGAAGATACTGAAAAAAAAAGAAAATCTATAGACATACATTTTTCAGTGAACTTACTTTAGTAATACCAAGGCAGCTCTTGCATTTACTTTCAATGAGCACTCAAACCATTGTGTTTTCCTGACATAAACGCCTGTGGAGAGAGAATGAACGACAAGGTCTTAAGCCAAAACATTTGTGGCAACCTAGCTCATCATTCAATTCAGAAATGAAGTGCACTCACTCCTTTAATAAATAGAAAAAAACAAGCTATCATGATTTATGATTGTGTACCTCTAAGCAACACAACCTGAAAATTAAAAACAAGCAGAGAGCTGTCTGTCTAAATTGTATAAAGGTTTCCCTTTACAAAGTCAGAACATCAAGAGGTGAAATGGAAAAATACACCTTTTATCACTTAAAATATTGAGTAAGATTTAAGAAAAACATATTTTTACTGCTTTTCCTTTTTTTTTTTTTTTTTTTTAATTCAATCTTGATTTGTTCATACCTTTCTCATCACTATTTCTGAATGTGATCTTCAACATACAAGTAGTGAGTCATTTTTCTTTCCTTAATTTCCTTCTCTCGTCTTTGTTGTTCTAGATCTTGTTACAAGAGGCAGGTCTTAGGGCTTAGAACACATGTTCCTCCACCACAGCTGTACTTGTTCAAGTTACATTTCCCTTCCATGACGCAGCCTGGTCAGAAAATCAGTTCTATAGGAACACTGTTGAAAGTAGGATTAATAGGACAACAGAAGGTAAGAGGAAAATACTACAGACATGGCACATACCCATTAGACATATTTCACAGAATCATAGAATCACAAGGTTGGAAAGAACCTACAAGATCATCTAGTTCAACCATCCTCCCATCACCATTACTACCACAAGCTATTAAGCCATATCTCATAGCAGCTTCACCAGCGCTGAGTAGAGGGGGACGATCACCTCCCTGCTCCTGCTGGTCACACTATTTCTAACGCAGGCCAGGATGGCATCGGCCCTCTTGGCCACTTGGGCACACTGCTGGCTCATGTTCAGCTAATCATCAACCAACACCCCCAGGTTCCCTTCTTCTTCACAGTCATCCAGCCGCTCATCCCCAGCCTGCAGTGCTGCATGGAGTTATTGTGGCCAAAGTGCAGCACCCAGCACTTGGCCTTGTTGAACCTCATCCCATTCCCCTCAGCCCAGCAAACCAGCTTATCTACATCCCTCTAGACTGACCCCTCAATATGGCATGGGAACAAGTTACCAAGTTATCTAACACAGCTTGCCATATTTTTGCTAGTATGTTCAACATCCACACAATGAGAAATTGCACATTAAACTTATAGACCAATTTCATGCTAATTAGTCTACGAGGGAACTAGGTAACTGGGTTGTTACAGTTCTATCTTTAGAAATGAATCAGAATTACTGCTTATTTAGAATAATTTAAGATGTCTGACTGTGCCTGTTCTAAGCATCCATTAACAAATGGTAGCTTTTACTTGACTTCCCACTGCATTAAACAGGCCATTTCAGTACACAAGACAAAGCAGCTCATCAGCTGGAGGTTGAAAATAAATACACAGGAAGCAGGCATACAAACAAGTGTTAAAATACATCTGTCTTACGTCAAGATTCATTTGTAAATTCATTGCAAGAGCTACACTAAGTCACATCAATGTGTTTTCAAGATGATTAGAACACAATCAGAATTACAAATCTTTAGATATGGTACTAAGGGACATGGGTTAGTGAAGAAATACTGATGGTAGGTGGACAGTTGGTCTAGATGATCTTGGAGGTCTTTTCCAACCTTGGTGGTTCTAGGACTGTACCACGTAACGCTTAAATCCCTTTATGGCAATGGGATTCTGACTTACATCCTCAAGATTTCTGAAGTGATTCACAGATGCTGTGTGAGACACAGGAGAGCTAGAATTGAAGACAGGCTGCCCTGTAGTCAATGCTGGAGTAATGCTATCTATCAAGTTCAGCTGTTCACTGCAAGGAGCAGTGGGGAAACACTTCTCTGTACTTATAAGCCCTTTGGTTCACAAACCTGAATCCTCTCCCAAAGTGGAATGACTAAGTTTACTCCAGAGGTATTTAAGAGGCGGGTAAACCACCCCTGCAATCTCTTTTAATTCAGTACCTTTGAAATCTCTAAACACAGAGTTATAGAAGTTATAAATAAAAGTCTAATCTCTCAATAAGGGATCATTAATGCCCTTTAACAAAAAGTATCAGCCAGAAGGCTTTAGCATGACCTGAAAAGGGAGATACAATCATCCAATCTATTTGGTTTTCAAAGTCCCTCTCTGCATACAAGAGGGGTTCACTGAGCAAAAAGGGAAGGAAAAACAAAACAGAACAAAACAAAGCCCCTTAAGCTGCTGTTTGGGAAAGCTCACGTATAAATAAAACAACAGATGTTTCTGTTTGTTTTGTGAAAGGCAGTAATCGAAGATCAGTCATCCATGCATCAAACAAGTGCTCGGTCTGCTGACTGAACAGCGGTGTGACAGCACCTCAGTGCCCCCCCGGAGCGCCTTCGAAGATGACTCCTGTAGGCAAAAAAAATGCCAAGGATGTGCTGGTTTTGAGACCTGAGTAAGAAAACCCCTCGGGAGTATCTACAGCACTATTTTCTGGAATTATGGAAATAACCATAGGTGACTGAAGAAATTCAAAAGACAGAAACGAGGCATGAATGGGATGTTATGCAAATTAAAGTGATGAGGATGCAAAGATACAACTGTGCCTTACAGTTTGATCCTGGCTGCCAAGGAAGTTCAGCGTTGATTCACCAGCTAAGTCTTCCTACAGCCATTGCCTCAAAACTGCAATATTTCTTCTATAACATCAAACTTTGTGGTTGAGACAGGACAGGTACTGACCGCAAAAGAGAACTGCATCAAAAGCAAGTACTTTGTGGAAATGATGTCAATCACAAAAGCAACTATGATAACAGTAAGACTAAAAGAAGAGCTCACCTCTCCAATGGCATCAGTTTTCTCAAGGCCTATCTATGGAGCAGGTACAAGATACTGTCTCTCTTTATAGGTCTTGTCTGTCTTAAAGCTCATGCATTTTAATGGGAACTCTTCAGTATCCCAAGCACTACAGTTTGCAACAGAAGCAGGAAAAAAGGAGCAGTGCAATCTGGTCCCGTGCTAAGAAGATGCCCTCCTGGCTCCCAGAGGCCAGGAGCAGCTCCCAGCCCTACCCTTGTGCTGGCAGCATGGAGCACAATCCATACCTCCCCTTTCAGGGTGCCTGCCCATCATCTGTGGGGTGCCAGCATGGCAGGCAAGGTAAGTTAGGGGATTGCACAGACAGCACAGGGACACACACAGCTACAGCACCACATCTTCAAAGGAGAGGCATGTAATGCAAATAGAAGAACGTGCATTCCCAGAACGATGAGTTCTTGTAGCCACAACAGCCTGCTGAAAGGACAGAGGTGAACATGCGACTGCCAACTTACAGGAGACCGCTGGAGAAGAGCGTGTAGATAGCTGAAGGTGTTTACTCACATTCTGTAAGGCTTTAGTACAGCCATTTATCTGTTATATTGCTGCTATTAATCCTAAGCATGCAGTTCACTGACTGATGGTTAATTACAATCTACTAATAAATCAACAAACCACTTTGATCCTTATCTGATTTAAACCATGAGTCCAAGTCCTGTATAAGCACATGCACTTCTCCGTGTTTTTCTGCTTGACACTTACACACAACCTTTGGCTAAAAAACACAACTTCTCATCTTCTATTTTATTTTGTTCTTCCTCACCCTCCCCTGAGAGCACTTAAAATATGCAGGAAATCAACTGGCTAGCTTTACCTGTCAAATTTCCTTCTGTGCTGACACTTACCTCCCAGAACTTACTTCTCTCCAAATTGGAATGATATGGATTTGATGAGTGGACTGTTCAGTGGATGAGGAACTGGTTGCGAGACCGTACCCAGAGAGCAGTGGTCAGTGTCCAGATGGAGATCAGTGACCAACGGTGTTCCTTAAGCATCAGTACTGGGTCTGGTGCTCTTTAACATCTTCATCAGTGACATGGAGTCAGTGGGATCAAGAGTGCCCTCGGCAGTTTGCAGGTGACACTGAGCTGTGTGGTGTGGTGAACACACCCAAGGGATGGGATGCCATCACAGAGAACTAGACAGGCTGAGCAGTGGGGCCCAGGAGAAGCCCACGAGGTTCAGCAAAGCCAAGTGCAAGGTCTTGTTCTTGGGCTGTGGCAACCCTGACTATCAGTACAAAATGAGGATATAAGAATGGAGCACAGCCCTACCAAAAAGGACCTGGGTGTATTGGTGGTGGCAGCTGGACATGAGCCAGCACTGTGCCTTCACAGCCCAGAGAGCCAACCACATCCTGGGCTGCATCCAAAGCAGCGTGGCCAGCAGGGTGAGAGAGGGGATCTGCCCCTCTGTGCTGTGAGACCTCACCTGGAGCACTGTGGCCAGATGGGGAGTGCTCAGTACAGGAGAGACATGGAGCTGCTGGAGAGTGTGCAGAGGAGAGCTGCAAAAATGAGCCCAGGGATGGAACACCTCCCTGTGAGGACAGGCTGAGAGCTGGGCTGTGCAGCCTGGAAAAGGGAAGGCTCTGTGAGACCTGATAATGGCCTGTCAGTATCTGAAGGGGGGGTATAAGAAAGAAAAGGACAGACTCTATAGCAAGGACTGTGTGATAGGACAAGGGGAAATGGTTTCAAACCAAAAGAGAGGAGATTCATATCGGATATAAGGAAAAAGCTTTTTAAACAAGTAATAGTGAGGCAGTGGCACAGGTTGCCCAGAGAGGTGGTGGTGCCCCATCACTGCAGACAGGCAAGGTCAGGCTGGACGGGGCTCTGAGCACTGATGGAGCTGTGGGTGTCCCTGTGCACTGCAGGGGGTTGGACTGGATGGCCTCAAATGATTCTAAGATTCCAACCAAAGTACTGGTCCCCCTCCCCCATTAGCAGTTTCCTAGTCTGGTCCAAAATATATCTTTTAATTAAGAGTGACTATTAAATTATTGGATTTAACAAACTAAAATTTAGGACTAATGCTTATGCTAGCTTCCCCAATGCAGCTTTGGAACCAGGTGTTCTAACGGAATTATATCCACTACATCAGATTTTTACATCAGGATATTCTAAGGAAAACACATCTGAAAGATTGCTGGCTTCTCCTTCCTCCTTCACAACTGAAAAAGCAAGCTAAAACCTGACTTCTAGACAACACTGAAAAGCGTTGTCTTTATTTTAAAATTGGTTTAAAAACAAAAAGTTATGGTTCAGTTCTCAACCTCTGCTGATGACATTTTCATAAGTTAGAGGTAATCAAGGATTATTTCCCATGCTTAAAACTCAAATTCTCAGTCATAGGAACTATAAAATCTGATGGCTGGGTACAGAACACAGGGTCTTACTATCGTTCCTATATCCTAAGTAGCCTTGGATAAAACATACTGACAGATTTTGTACTCAAAGACACTGAAAAAACTCAATCCTTGATGACCAATGACTGACCTCAGATCTTATCAGTCTGTGACCCTCAAATAGTAACATTCATTTTAGAATTATATTTGCATTTAACTCTTTTTTTTTTTTATTGTGCACTCTTGGCTTACAATTGGTCAAAATTATTCTTTCCCCAAATTCACTTTTCTTTCTTCTGCAGTCAGGAGAAAAACATTCTGTATGATGTATAAAGATTTTTAAAACCACCTAGGCTTGCAAGACACAGCATATCACCTTTGCAACTACTTCTTAGAAGTTATTTATTTTGCAAAACCTGGCTTCTTAAACAAGCACTTAAAGTTTAAAATAACTTCCCAGACTAACAACTGGCAAACTACATTCTTCTTCATTACAATTTCAGAAAGGAATAGTCATAAAGCTGAAAAAAAAAGTATAAAAGCCTTACATGAATAAAAAAAAAGCTATTCATAATTAACTTTTTTCAAAGGTATTGATCTGAGTGCCATACAAAGAAAGTGATTAGTGGAAACCAGACCTGCCAAGAACTCCAAGAAGGGGAAAAAAAAACCCTGCAGTTATAGTGGTGGAGCTGGTTTTCATAATATGTTTATTTTGTAGATGATTGAAATTTTAAACATTTGTAACTCATTGAGGGTGAGTTACATCATGCAAATTTTAATGCCTGACTTACATGAATGTTCCTATCCTCTACAACATGAAAAATCACCACCTGCTCTGTATTAGTATTTAAAGTAGGCAAGCAGCCACGATGCTCACTGATCTTTTTTTTTTTTTTTTCCCCTCACTTAATTTTGATTAGGTGGAGGAAACATTACAGATTACCTTACATGCCAATCTATTAAGTGCCCAATGCTCATGCAATCTTCAGCTTCTGTGGGCCAGTAACTTGTCCTCCCCCCTCACACACCAATTCAGAAGTCAAGAAACTAAAATGAAACTTGCATCACAGTGGAAATCCATACATTCATTACATTCACTTAGCATTGTAATGCAGTTCAAAGTTTATCAAACAAAAAATTGTTCATAAAACACTGTTGGTCAGGGGAAGAAACACCTTACTTGTCAGTTGCATGCTCCCTAATTCCAGCTAGCACTGCTCCAATTAATAAATTTGTTACTCCCTACTTCTTCTTTCCCAGCCTTTTTCCACATTAATTATCTACATATATTATTTTTTCTTCCAGGTGATACAAAGAAAACCATTCCTCCATTTCTCTCTGTCCAGAACATACCTTCTCCCATTACTAAGTCATGTCCATGCCTTCCTGTTTACATACTCCACCTATGGAATGTGGAACCAAAGAAGAGGATATCGATTCTAGGATAAATCCTTCCCCTCTTCCCCAAAAGCACCATAGAAGCACAGTAGGAGCCCATCTCCAGTTAACATTTACCCAGCACATTCCCACCTCCTCACTCCCTTAACACATCTGAGTCACCAGCTGAAGTGACTGGAAATCTACCTGCTGAAGCAAAAATGCATGAAGTTCAGTTATTTGACACGCATTTCCATAGCAGCTCACATGTGGAAAACTGAAGAGTTCCTCTTAAAACACGTAAACTTTGTCTAAAAGACAGAGCCTGCGAAGAGAGGCAGTATCTTGGATCAAGTCCATGGACGGTCTATGAGAAAACTTAATACCTTTGGAGAAACAAGCTTTTAAGCCTTCATTTTAGGGGCTGTAAAAGTCATAAGATGACTTGCACTTTATCTCCCTTTCTCCAGGAGTACTACCATTCTCTAAAGGAAAATGAAAGATGAGCCCCTTCCCCTGGAACTGTTATGGATTAGGCTTGTCAAGATGGTTCCCCTCCTCATCACGCTATTTTATACCTTCTCACTCATTTCTTCCAGCCAAAATCTGGTACAGAACACCTCCTTCTTCCCTAGCTCTTAAATTAATCTTCTAGCCAGTTAAATACTGCATAAGTTGCTTCTTTCAAAAAAAGCATTTTTGTAATTTTGAGAATTGAACGTTAAGTTAAGCAGCAGGTGGTAACTTTAATATCTGCATTCGTCTTTGAATCATAGCTCAATAAACCCTGACAGAATATTAAAGCTTCTGCCTACCTTGTCCACTTGGCCTGTGCACACCATCCTGTCAAACTCCACCTGCTGGATAATCTTCTTACGGCAGGCCAAGAGAAGCTCTCTCTGACACATTTGTTAATACAACACCTAAAACAATGATACATCTGTTTTAATGATACACTTACATACTTTGCATGCTTTTCCTTCCCACCATTCCCTACCAGCACTACAACCAAGTGAATCATCGAGTAAATTACTTCTTCTTAACACCTCAGGAGAATGGGCCTTACTCATAATTAAGATCAATTCCTAAAAATATTTATCTACAGGAAAAGTTACAGCCCCATGCAACAGGTATGGAAGTAGAAAATAAACTTCACAATTTTCAGCCTCTAAAAACAGAAAAGCAGAAAGTTTGGCAAGTTTGGAAATGTGATTTAACTTACTTTTAAGCACTACAATATACAACTGGTATAAAGTTCCTTGCAATTCCAAAAGAATGCCAATTCCAGAGAGTGCCACTTGTAAGCTAATTAGTTTAAAGTATACGAGTCTGTTTGTGTGCTAGTTAACTTTTCTGCTTGCTACTTCTCTCAGTAAACTTAGTCAAATGATGGTACAGTCTGTTAAAGGTGGAATGAAGCATCAGCCTTCTCTGTGGTACCCTACCCTCCTTAATGTTTAGAAACAATCATTTTTGCATTTGCAAGTAGGAGGAGAATTGAATTTGTGTTGCAGGCACAAAGAAGTATGAACTAAAGATATTGTTACAGCACTTACTTAATCACTTCCTCTTACACAAGTCAAACATTCAACTTCCAAACGTTAACTGATAATATCTTTTTAACCGTAATTTCCAACAGACAAAAACCATACAAAGTTGGTTAGATCTGTGTATTTGCTGATATTCTCTTCTAGTATGACTTAAATTTATTTGTCACCAAGTAGAGTTGTTCATTATGACCTACCATCCTTCAGGAATAATTTGAAAATACAGCTCAAGACTTGCAAATCATACCTGGAATAGTCTGTCCTACTGAAATACTGGGAGAGGAATTACATTTGAGAATAGTAATTTAATCCAACTGGGAGAGAATGTACTACTTAGAATAATGCTCAAATACTTCTCTAGAAAAACAAATGAGTGCCATTTTACACAGTTGATGTAGCACAGGCATTCAAATTCCTTGCTGAATGTAGATTATAATTTCAAAACATTGTAACAAAATAAGTAGAAGTGGAGACTGTCCACACAAGTTTGATAGGAGCTTCAAAATAACTTTAATTACTTATGAAGAACTATTTTGCTCCTCTTCTACTAAGTTCCTCTGTTTTTGCTAGATCTCCAAATGAAACTGTAGCAGAACTTCTCTGTGCAGGTCTCACCTAAGAAGAAAAGAGGAAAAAAAATATAAGGACTGTTTTCTAAATTAAAGTATTTTATAAAATTTGTTTAAAGCCTAAGTAATTTAAAACATATCTTCAAAGAGTAAATAGTTGAGCTCCACATTACCTGTGATTTGTGAAACTTTCAGCCAGTCAGGTAGAAGATCTGAAGTGGGGCAGGTACTGAGCCACCACCCTTTCAATACATTTCTGTCATGGAAGGAAGGGAGAAAAAGAAAAGGTACACGGAATATCAGTATTAAGAAATCATAAATTCCCAAAACAGTCAAATTAGGCATGGCATACTCCTCATAATGACTCTTGGTGAAAGATTTGGGACAGTAAAAATATCTCATACTGGTACATTAACATAGTTCAAATTCTGTCATTGTAATTAAGGTTAAAAATACCTGTACTAAAACAGTATTTAATTCTTTCTTGGGGGGGCGCCCCCCCAGAGGGGTGAGGGCAAGTAAGTTTTTGGAGTTGTTTCAGGTTTTTTTTTTTTTTTTTTTTTTTTTCTTTCCCTACTTCAGGAGTAAAACAGATTCACAGCAGACCACAAAGAAGAAATCTCTGACTTCTGCTTCCCAATACAAAACTGTTTGTGGAGCTACTCTCCTGACTCATTAGATTTCAGGAAAAAAAAGTAATGCTTTCACTACTACCATCAGCTTTAATTGGAGTTATGAAGCAAGCATTAACTATTCCACCCCTGTGCTTCTGGCACAGAAAATGGTTAGGTTTCTGCAGTGTATACTTGCCTTGTGAGTCTTCCATAACCTGAGACGATCCTGGATGGTTTACCTGAACTTCATAGCTATCCTGAAAGAATTCAAAAGCTTAATTTTGGAGTATATCAAGTTAAAACCACAGCATTCTATTAACTTTCAGAACCCGCCACTTCAGTTCTAATTGAACACACTGTTACTCAGAAAAATACACTGCCTCAACATTTCTGAAGAACTTTGTTTAGTGGCTTAAACCTAATCAAATTTTAATTGAAATGCCATTATTCTTTTCTTGGTTTTAGAAGCAGCAGCAGGAGTGTCTCAAGTTCTTTCAAGCAAATCTAACATTCTCTGACACTTCTTGATGAAGAACGGGCAAACTCATCTGGGCCACTAGCCAAAGATACACTTCACTTGGTTTCATTGATCTCAGCACAGCCAAGAATAGAGGCAGATCAGACTAGTTCAGAAACTTACTTAGCAAAGCACACTCCATGCAAAAGAAAGGAATTACTTACTATGCTTTGGTAATGTTCTTATAAATGGAGTTTATTATACAGCTCTGATGTTTCAGACTACTTTTTGATTGTTAATTACCACAGCCAGGGTGCTAAAAGCCAGCACCTGACAGATGTCCCAAATCCAGTATGAAGTGGACAGTGGTGATCTATGAAGAGAAAATCCCCTTTCCCTAGCCCTAGGTAGCTGCAAAGGGCGGGGAAGCTCGTACAGACTGCCTCCCCCAAACACTGCACCAATAAATACTCCATCTGAATTTGGTGAATCTACAGCACAGAAGAAAAAACATACTCTTTCTTTTTTTATTAATACTATGCAGGTAAGAAATTCCTGCTGTGTTGTTTTTGTTTGTTTGTTTTTAATGAAATTAAAAGCAGTCTCAGATAAAAGCATTCGCAACAGGAAACTCCTAAAACAATAACCTCAAATAATTTTCTTCCAAACAGGTACAGTTTACGACAATTTGGATACTTCTACTTCCTCAGAGGAAGGCACTGAGTGCCTCAGGAACTCCTTAAGAGATGCACAGGCCTTGATTTCCAATAGTGGTTTTTGCACTTCTATGCTCATGGCAGAGCAGTGCCATTCTTATGTCTGTTTTCCATTCTTTTAAGTTTTTATTTATTTATTTTTAAATCTAAGAAGAACAGCAATAAAGCAACTCAAATGCCAAGGCTGACAGGCTGCTTTCCTTGCCCAGATCCTACTGAGAACATCAACCAATTCAGCTTCTTTTTTATATACAGAACTGCCAGCAACTGCTGGTTTAGAAAGAATAGCCATTTTACATAATCAAGCTAACAAGGCAGAAAAGGCCACAACTAATGTACCTCGCTTACTGAGTTGAAACAAAAGCCCTTTAAATGGGTATTTCATTAAGCATTAATCACACTACCTCTACCCACGCTAAAGAAGAAATCCTTTAATTGAGCAGCAAGAAATTTAAGCTGGTGAAAACAGTTTCCATTAGTTAAAGACAGTGGTGCTAAAGCAGAAAACGAGCATCCCAGGTGGAAATTCACCAAGACCCCCAGTTTCTTGCTCTTTTAGGGGTATTGTAACAGGTTACTTAATTTTATCCTGGCGGTAAAACTATTCCACACTACAGAATATTTAATTCCCAGAGAAAATAATGTACTTCCAAGGGGTTATTCTTAAAAAAGTCAAGTAAATGCTGGGGTATTATGATTTCTAGTTTCATTATCCCATAACAGGATACTCCTGTTTGTATAAAGAGGTGACGGGATAGCACTACAATAACACTGCAAAAAAAAAAACAACTGTGTAACGCAAGCTATTCATGTGGCCATTTTTATTTAAACAACAGGATACACAAACAGCTCTCAGTGCAAGTAATGGTGTTACTTTTTCATTCTCAAAAAATACAAAATATCTCAAAACGGTTAGTAATGACTGCCTGCTTAAATACCTGAGGTAAAACTGGTGACCACGTGGAGGCTCCGTCATAGAATCATTCAGGTTGGAAAAGCTCACCAAGCTCACCAAGCTCACCAAGCTCACCAAGCTCACCAA